TTATAATTACTTTTACAAGCATAACAATAAAAAAAAAATACAACCGGCAGCGGGCGCTAGGTCCAAGTTGCCGATGGTTAGAGCTCCAGAGACAGAAACCTCAAAGCGTGCCATGTCATGAAGAACTACCTTCTGTATAAATTTACATGTCGACAACCTTGTGAACCAAGTTAAGGTATTAGTAGATTTTTTTATCTTTCTCAGTTTTTACAAGGTTTTCGTCCTGAAGAAATAAGACAACTATTTGATAATCGTTGTCACATACGCGTGGCGCATAAGTTTGTCTTATCATCATCAGTCTGAGATGATGAAATAATTTGTCAGAGGATCTTCAAAATCAACCGCAGATAATATGATAAAATGTCACCACAGAGCTGCAGAAAATATTAAAAAGATAAGTACCTACATCACCGGACAACGAGTTCGTAAATGTTCATTCTCTAAGTGAACTAACAATTGATTTGAACCAGAAATCAATTAGTACCCATATTAGAACAAAAGAGGGCCGGTAGCAGAAACGTGATATCTTTGAAATTTGATAATTTTGGTTAGGAATAAACGGACAAACACGCCCGTATGTTACTCTTTATATTTAACTTTCAACTCTCTGACTGTTACTACAAAGCTTAATACAGAATAGCTTGTATTTTATAGACATAGAGCTGCAAAGGCCCCTGTTAGTCTTTCCCACGTTGCTTCATTACATCAAACATTCTGCCACGCGTATTATGGTAATAGAAAAAAAAAAATATCTTGGCTACTTTGCATATTCCGTGAATGACAGCGTGACATTAAGTTGTCTGTTTATTTCGCCAAGATTATGACCTCCAGTTTTTAAAGGAAAATGCACTCTATTTCGAAGATTGTAAGGTCTTTGCTATATTTATGTAAATGTTTGTAAGTTTGTAATAGACAAAGTCATGTGACACTTGACAGTGGTGTGAAGTGAACGATTTTGTTTATTTACTTTTTTTTGGTTTATGATTAGTGTCGTGTTTTGGACTATAGTCGTTGTCAAGTACTCATTTTTAGAATTATGTTGATATACTTTATTGTAAGTATCTACCTACATTACATGTGTTATGTACGTCTTACGTATAAATTATAAAAAAATTGCAATTAACTCGTCGAGTACCGTCATTATAGACACAATTATAGAACAATAGGTTGCGGTCACCGGTGACCGCTTGGTGTTTGACAGTTTAAGTACATAAAATTTTCTCTTGCGCAAGCACCTTACGAGGCAAAAGAAACTTCTGAAGCTAGGTATCGCATAAAAGTACTGATGTACTAAAATTGTTATAATATTTGAATAAGCCTTCAGTTTTAATTAAAATTCTTGAATTTCTTATTACCTTTACTGTGTTTTTAAAATCTGTTACTTGATTTGAAATTGAAAATATTTCAAAATATATCTAGTCCTATCTAGAGCAGATCTAATTAATAAAATCACTTTTTTATATTCGATAGGCTGACGTTAGACCTCTATCTCGCCTAGTGTTAAGCGATGATGCGGTCTACGTGGACTCATAAGCAACCTAGTCACTTGGGCCTTGAAGACACCCAGATATACCCTTCAGGAAATACAGACTCTGGCAAAGAATTCCACTCCTTAGCAGTACGCACAAGGAAGCCTGATGCGGAGCGCTTCGTGCGTGTGGGTTACATCTACCATGAATCGATGACGCTTCGCCGATTGTCGTGTGGTACGATCATTAACCAACCTCTATACAAAATCTATGTGTTGTGTGGAAAAGCGAAGTTTAGTAATGTATTGCTTTATATAAAATATAAGGTAAGTAATGCGATCGCGGGACGATCTCCGGCCACCGTAAGCGCGGGACTAAGGAAAGCGAGCATGGGAGGCTAACCGTCCGACCAGAAACAGACCCGAGCGTACGGCGCGTCGCGTTCCGCGCGCGCCTCAAAGAGCCATCAGACCACCACAGATGGGGCCCAATAGGGCCGATGCCGATTCGGAGTCGCGGAGAACCTAACGGGTAACTGGGGCTCCGGCTCGACGTGCAGGAGAAGGAACGGGGTGGTTTTTAGTCAGTAAGAGTCTGACACTCCCTCCCGCCTCACCCAGGCGGGAGCAGTCATTCGATGATTTTCCCCCCTTAAAAAAAAAAAAGGTAAGTAATGCGAGCAATTTTGTAAATAAACATTCATTTTCAACCGACTTCAAAAAGGAAAAATGGAGGTTCTCAGTTTGACCTCTATGTTTGTGCATCATTATCTTGCGATTGGCTGAACCGATTTTGATGATGATGCAGTTTTCAGAAAAGTGTTTCTTACACTTAGGTAGAAGGTTAATTAACCAACATCAAAAAAGAGGTTGAAATCAGTTTTTGTGAACGTAATTTATAAAAATATTATTGTTATGTTATCTATAACACATTGTAGCACAGCTGAAGATTTCTCATATTGTAAATACCTATAATGAGATAACTGTAGGTCACACTGTCTGTATTTAGGTACATGAATATTTTCTTATCATTGATGTTACACGTTAGGATACCATATACGTAATAAATGGGTGCTAGTGCTCTCTCGAACACTACATTGCACCGCGACTTACATTGATGTGTCGAAGACTCAAATTGTCCTCAGTCTCGTGCTGTGGATCGGTCAGTTACTTTTTTGAAATTTATTTTTTTATGAAATCTGTCTTTGTTGTGCCGATAAATATAAAATACTTATTTAAAAAAAAAACGCATTCAATGTACATACAGACTTGATTTTTCTACGATTTCATTATAATATTTAGACTTAGACTAGAATTAGACTAAATCGAGTATTAAAAAAACATTCGGTACCATTATTGATTTTTCAATATCTTTGCTAAACACGTCTATATTTCTATGTATGTTTCTTCACATGTTCCCAGGTTTAGTAATGTGAAAATAGTACTCGTATGTGTACAATAATGACGGCAATGGTTGGTTGAAATGTTGCAACGACAATCAAAAGTTTAACGTTCTTTCTAAAACATGGGGCCTCTAGACGCAAAAGATAGTCAGAAATCTAGAAAGGAAAACTAAACTTGAGCAATAATACTTTGTGATTGATTGGCAAGTTACGCCGCGGGCAGAGCACTAGGGGCCAACATTGTGATAGTGACGCTTTATCGTCATTAACCATACAGGGGGAGTAAAAGTATGAAAGGTTATTTATTCACTTCTTTACTAGCCAGCACATGATTTTTTCATAATTGTATCAGGATATTACCATGACAAAATTAAATGCAACATTTTTCATAATATTTCATCATCATCATAATCACCAATAGCCAACTTGGCGGGTGATTCTTAAAAAAAATAACGACGTCATTAATCTCAAGCTAAAGTTATCAGTTCTGCTGACTGAAATTCTAAATTTGATTTTTAAAAATGTTACATTTTTACATTTTCAAGCAATGCAGCAAAAATATTAATGATAGTAAGGTATTAGGTTACTAACGTGCCAATACTGAAAGGCTATTCAATTTTAAATAGGGTAGATGTCTAATTTTTATTTTAATGTCCGTCTGGTAGATTATTTTAAATCATTAGACTTTTTATTTTCTTACAGAAACAAATACTTTCGACGATATATTGATTTGAAATGTCGCGTGACGTCACTTCTATGTATATTTTATACGTAGAAATGACGTTTTAGTCCCCAATCATAAACTTTGATTCGTTCTATCGAAGTTTTGTTTTATTATACGACAGAATAAAAAATACGTGTCTAATATTTTTTCATTACCTAACTTAAGGACTAATTAGATTTTTAATTTTCATACCCTGTCATCATCTCAATTGTACTTAAATATCGTGCCATTTCTGTCATTTTATAAAGAATTTGCAGTGACATAACTATAGTGAAGCGTGACGTGAAAACACGTTATCTTAGGGAACAGAGAGTATAGTTCCCTAAGATCGGAAAAGGAGGATCCTCCGACCAGACGAAGTGATAGTGCCTGGCGGGCTTTCGTCCCAACAGTTGTTCGTTGGGTTTTTCTATCGATGTTTATTCGCTTATAAACTTTGCATGTGTGTGTGTAGGGTTCATGTGACGTCATGCGTTGACTTGTGCAATGTGTCGTCACACCGAGTAGCGTTTCAGTATTCGTGCGTTAGCAATGCATGAAATTAATGGTATATTAAATAAACAGTGGCGTAGCGTGTCTTGGCGGGGCCCAGTATAAAACATGGTTTAGGGGCCCTTCTGAAAAGTAAAGCTCTCAGTAACAGTTTTTTTTTTTTGCATAAAATACTAATATTTTTTATGATAATCGGAAACCTTTCCAGACTTCTCCTTCTGCTCATATTATCGAACTATGATGTCGCGAGTGCGACTGCTGGACAAGGAAGACAAGGGGTCTCGGGTTCGATTCCCGTGTTGGGTAAAGTATTACTGGAATTTTTAAAATTCTCAGTAGTAGCACGGAGTTTGGAATTGTGCCCGGTATGTGGCAATAAGGTCACCTCCTATTACATGGGACTCATAACAAATAGTGAAAAGTGGGTGTTACATTCTACAGTGTCATTAAGTGCCGTAATGTGCACCTCTGCCTACCCCTCCTGTGATATGAGGCATGATGTTCTGTTATGTAGTGATTACTTTAGTTTTTCTAAAGTTTCTGCCAAAAATGATTAATTTGACTTTTGTGATTACTGAAGTAAAATCAAACATTGATAAGATTTTATAAATTTTTGCTTACGCACGTTTTGCCCCAAATAGTCTGGGGCCCCGTATAATTGATACGGCAGATACGGCGCTAGCTACGCTCCTGTTAATGAATGTTATTTTAACAATTACCTAATTATATTTATCAATAAATTTTATAAACACCCTGTGGTTAACACAAGTTCAAGATTTCGTTTATTATGTTATATAATTTTGCAGATAACTTTAGGTTATCTGTGTTTACTTCTCCTCAATCTCCAGGGAAAGCCCAAACTTGTTTGACAGTTTATTTATTACATTATAATATAATTTGTATCAGTTTTAGTTATGTTATCATTCATGTTACACGTTACTATATAATAAACCTGTGCTAGTTCTCTTGGCCACTACATTGCGTAGTGACTTACGTTGACATGTCGATGACTCAAATTGTTCTTAGTCTGTTGTTGTGGGCCGGTAAGTTACTTTTTTGGTATTAGTAAGTCTTTGGTGGTCCGATTGTAGAAAAATACAAAATAATCTCTTACTTATCCAATAATAATTATCTTAGAATTACATTATTATTTTTCTTAAAAATCATCTTTAAACAAACACTAATTTCGATGATTCAATAAAAATCTTTTAATTTATGAGTCGTGTCGGGCTATACTTACATGAATGTTTATTAACACGTTCCCAGGTGTAGCGCTGTGCAAACAGTATGTGTACGATGATGACGCCGATGGTTGGTTGAAACTACACAAGATTCCACTGACATGGCAGGAAGCTTTCATGACGTGCCACTTGGAAGGTAAACACACGCCTAAAGAACTAATAAACCTTTACATCTTGAATCTCCTTAGAAATATTTTGCCCTGCCTACTATTCCGTCATTATTACCCCTGCATCTAAATATTCACTCGAGCTATGTATGTACCTGCTACAGATGCAGTACTAGCGTCTCCCACAAATGACGCACTACATCAAGCTATGTTGACTGCGGTGAAGAAAGCAGAAATCGATTTACCTATTTACATAGGAACGAAAGAAATGTTCGTTTACGGACAGTACGCGTCTATCGAAGGTAAGTCTTGGTCTTTGTGTGAATTATGTTCTGAGCACTGTTGCGTTACTTTCACTTTTAAATCAATTTGCATGTCATTTTAATCAATTGTCATTACCACTAACCTTAACAACGATTGAACCAGCGACATATTGCACAGCAACAGTTGCTGGTCACCTAGCCACTGCGCCAATCGTGTAATTGAAGTGCGATAAATCACATTTCAATACACGATGTGAATATGAATAAACAAAATGGAACTATTTACCGTTTATCAAAGTAGCGCCAACTCCTGGAATTTTATTGGCTGTGAATCCAGAAAATCTATTTCAGTAGATGTAACAGAAAAATAAGAGAGCCATATACTAAAACAAAAAAGGATATTCAAAAAGAAGAAAAGAGAAGTGAAAACGAACAAAACCCAATGGTTTTGTTTGTTTAGCAGTACAATTACTGCTATCAAATATTATGTTACAATGTTACAAATAAGTAATAGTAATGCAGTTATGATACTCTGTGCTAATCTCATACAAACAGCGACATTGTTACGTTATGAAACCACGACCACAGGTAGTAACATTTATATTTTTCAAATTGCAGGAGTTCAATTAGAAGACATGCCTGTAAAGTTTCCTTCTACCAACGGCATAAAACCTGAAGAATGTGTGAGATTGACGAAAGAGGGAGAAGTCGCATTTACTAACTGCTCAGAATGGTTGCCATACATTTGTTATAAGAAAAACACAACTCATCTGAAGTACAACTATGATTGTGGAACTTTTGACAGAGGTAAGTTCTATGACTAGCTCAAAGATGACATGTAAGTTTGTTGTATGGCTTTTGCTAGAAAAGACATGTCTCATAATATTTTCCCCGACTAAAGACGTCTTCCTCAACAGCAACAGTTAAAGTAAGGTAGTGACAATTGACGATAATATTTGATTTTCCTCTTAGAGTACCAGTACAATGCCGCGACGGGCAGCTGCTACAAGTTGCACAAGCAAGCAAGAACTTGGCGACTTGCATATAAGGTATGCACAGCCGAGGGTGGCCATCTCGTTATCATCAACGACAAAACTGAGGACGATGTCGTGGTGAACATATTGAAAGGAAAACCAAGGAACCTTCCTTGGGAACTATCACACGCTGGATTCTTTGACTGGAACAAAGATTTATTAACCTTCCTTACTATTCATGGTTCGTAACATAATGTCATACTAATTTAATTTTGATAGGATTGATAATGTTAATCATATGTCAAGTTTGTAGCACAGAGTTAAAATTTATGAAGATAGTAAAATACACAACAATATCTCATTATAATACGCTTCATGGTTTCAGGGGAGAAATTGAATACTGTTTATAACATCTGGAACGAAAATCAACCCGACAACAAAGGAGTGAATATATATGGAGGAATCTTAGAAAACGGTAAACTGGACGAAGAGTGGGACAGCAGAGAAGCGTACTTTGTTTGTGAAAAGGATCCAAAAATTCATCTTTATGATCGGCAACTTTGCGGTTGCAAATGGGAAGGTTGCACTGTAGGGTGCTTTTGATTCATTGATCTGGCTTACAAACTGAGCTAAAACTTGATTATTTGTAAAACATTACCTTAACCAAGTTATTAAATGTAAAAACAATAGCTTGGAACAACATTATGAAACCATAATTTGTTCCATGCCAATTGTAGCTGACAATTAAGGTAGTTGGCTAAAGAAGTTATGACGTCTAAGCTTAATAATATTTTAATATCGTAACAAAATCAAATAAACATTACTTTAAATTTATGATTTTTTTACTGGTTTTCGCCCGAATACTAAAAGGTTATTCAATTGTACTTCAATATCGGGCCATCTCTGTCATTTTACAAATAATTTGTAGCAACAGAACTACTAACTATACTTAATAGCGACCTACCGAATCTGCGTGTGTAGGTCCCGATATTGTAGTAGTAACTTTAAAATCGACACAACGATTTAAAAGTCTGTAGAACGGTAAAAGTACACATAATGCCGTAATAATTGCACACAAACATAATGTACACTCGACAAAGCTAATTGTTGCACGCATACACATCGATACAACTATCATTTACAGCATTATACACATTTGTGGGTAATTTCATATTAATGTGTTTAAAAACTATAAACGTTCATCTATCACGCACACATTGGTATTTAATATCATTTTGTTTTAGTATAGGTACTAGTGCGCTCTAAATACGGTAGGTGACAGGTAGTCAAATTCAATACTTTTACAAACTATTTTTTTTTAAGCGGGGAAAATCATCGAATGGCTGCTCCCGTCTGGGTGAGGCGGAAGTGAGTATCAGACTCTTACTGACTAAAAACCACCCCGTTCCTTCTGCACGTCGAGTCGGAGCCCCGGTTACCCGTTAGGTTTTCCGCGACTTTTACAAACTATACTTTTCTATGAATGTTGTATTCGATCGCAACTTATGACGTCATCATTTTTATGCGTCAAAAAGCATACTTATTTCCTTAAATTGAGCTAGAAAAAAACTAAAAGTAGGTAAATTGTCAAATCAATGAATGAGAGTATGATGATTATTTTTTAATTATTTATTTTACTGAAAAGTTGAAACAATTTATTTTAAAACTAGGAAACTAGCCAATCGTTAAGTTTTACGTCAAACATTATTTCTTAGTACCCGAATTATGTATGAGAAATGAAGATATTCTAAACCTAAGTACCTAGCTTACAAGTGCATCATCCGGACTAGTAAAAAGTTAATTTTAATGGACACACTGCAAAATTAATTTGTGACAAGATCAAAGTACTTTGTTCACAGCTGTACTGCATGGTACACTAACTTTGACTAATGTACTAACTTAAAGCCAGCAATGACACCACGCGACATTTATATTTAATTTAACATACCTTACAGCGAGCGAGAACGTCCTTATGACTAATACTTTTGTTTTGAGGTGGAAATATCATCGAATGACTTCTCCCACCTGGGTGAGGCGAGAGCAAGTGTCAGACTCTTACTGACTAAAAATTACCCCGTTCCTACTCCTGCACTTCGAGCCGGAGCCCCGGAAACCCGTTAGGTACTCCGCGGCTCCGTATCGGCATCAGCCCTATTGCTTAGAGATACAAGGTGAATCTTTGAAGGTTTCCTAAGGATAAAATATTGGAATTTTAGGGAAAAAAGTGATCGTCTAATCTGTTTGTGTGTACCATGAGTTTTACGGTGTTGGATTTAAGATTATAGAATGATATATTTTGTCCTCGCGAAGGAAATCCTCATGGACTTTCCACGTCGTGGGGACGGCGGTGTTCTTCCACTGCCTGTGCCTGTGGGACGCCCTTACGGAATCACCATACCATAGAAAGATAATGTTTCAACATGTAGCAACGTATCTGTATGATTAAGATTTAAATGTATACAAAAAATGTACTGTTTAAATTTCCTTTCATTAATTATGAAAGAAACAAAAATAAACATTGTAATAATTATTATGCCATAACATAAAATGTTTGATAGTCAAGCAAATTGTTACAAGTCCAATAAGTCGGCTCCAATTATTTCCGATTCTTCTCAGGAATGAAAATAAAACTGCGTTTGTGATATTTTTTTAATTAAGTTCAATTAAAATCGTATTATTCAGTTCCTTGTTGGGGGGAGTTTTACGCGAAACTTTTTTCTTCAATTTCCTTTTGCTAATTAAAAGTGAGTTTGGAGATTTCGCATTCTTCTCTTCGGTCGCTTTGGGGTGACCATTGCAGACTTGTTGACTTTCTTAAAGTTATCGTGTTTTGTGTTATTTTGACTCTTTGCTATATACATATATATATTTGCATCCAGTGTACACACGGCTACACATCGAGCTTTACATAACCAGTATAAACTGAACGTTAAATGTGCGGAAAGATGACGCGACGCGACACCAGGATAAACTGGTTTTGTATAGATTGATGTGTGGCCGTGTGTAGGTACTTAATAACATATTTACTTTTTTCGTAATAAAACTTGCTATGTAACGTAAAAAAAATATTACAAATATTCTTAAAGTAGGTAAGTGAAAACCGCCGTTTACAAAATAAATAATTTTGATTTAGACTTCACTAAAAAAATAACTGAAACAACTTAAATATTAATAAATTTATTACAATTTATATCCAACCATGTTTAGACAAATTCAACAGTCACATTTTTGCTTGCTAATAAAAAATAACAAATATTTATTTTTTTGCCGACCTTGTGGGGAATAGGAGTTTGATGATGGGGATTAAAGAATTGGGGAGATAGGGGAAGGCGAGTCCAGTAACCTCACTCACACGACGAAACACAACGCAAGCGTTGCTTCACGTCGGTTTTCACTGAGGCCGTGGTATCACTCCGGTCGAGCCGGCACATTCGTGCCGAAGCGTGGCTCTCCCACACTTTTCTAGACAAATCTACATAATACTTTTCACGGATCTATAAAGACTGGCAAATATAGCGTATATTTCCTCCTCTCCTAAGTTTTTAAGTATTGATTAATTGACTCCTATTTACTTGGCGACATTGGAGTCAATGAGGGGCTCTGTTACTATGGAGATGGCAGGCGACCGGTAAACAATCTACAGCTTAAGTTCTAATGCAATCATTGTTAGCGACTTCTCACAGATTAAGGGGAACGAACTCATTCATTAAGATGGCTGTAGAACATAAGCATTCAAAATCGTTTGTAATGAAGCCAATCCTCAAGACTGCCTCGTTGGCCGAGTGGTCGCAAGTGCGACTGCCGGGCAAGTGGTCTCGGGTTCGATTCCCGGTTCGGGCAAAGTTATATTGGGTTTTTATAAATTCTCAATAGTAGCACGGACTCTGGAATTGTGCACGGTATATGGCAATAGCCTCACTCCCTATTACATGGGACTCATAACATAAATAGTGAAAAGTGGGTGTTACATTGGACAGTGGCATTAAATACTGTAATGTGCACCTCTGCCTACCCCTTCGGATATAAAAGGTGTGATGTTATGTTGTGTTATGAAAAAGTATCTTAGTAACAATATTCGATATTAAGTACTTATTTTAACTAATGGTTAAACTATCCTTGTACATAACTCATCTCATAACATCACGCCTTTTATCCCTGAAGGGGTAGGCAGAGGTGCACATTATGCCACTGTACAATGTAACACCCACTTTTCACTATTTATGCTATGAGTCCCATGTAATAGGGGGTGAGCCTATTGCCATATACCGGGCACAATTCCAGACTCCGTGCTACTACTGAGATTTTTTTTAAAAACCCAGTAATACTTTGCCCGACCCGGGAATCGAACCCGAGACCCCTTGCCCGGCAGTCGCACTTGCGACCACTCGGACAACGAGGCGGTCCTTGTACATATTTCGGTAGAATACATTTTGTTTGATTCAAAATAAACTTAAATGCATTGTTTCATATTGTGTACTATACTCCTTGAAGTCCAGACTGGAGACTAACAGCAAATACAAGTCGTTCAGTGTAAAATACCGTCTGTCTTTAAAACGTCTATTATTTGCTCAGTCAACATATTGTTCTCCATTCTCTTGGACACTGGACTGTTCCAATGACGATCTGAACCAGATAAGCTCCAACTTTCAGTCCAAACAATCGTAAAACATTGCGCAAACATTTCTGAGTCCTCGCAACAATAGCTCCACGAACAAAATCGTATGGACCCTTACTGAACTCGTAGACATTTCTAATAGCCCTTAAGAGTGAGGCAAACAGTTTTACTCCATTGTCCACTTCACTCGACATTGTTACTTGATAACAATCTTACTTTTTACCGGCCACTCAAACGATTCTGGTACTTCCTACAACGACATATTACTTTCTATAAATGCAAGATCAATTTGGCGCACAGTTCGTGCCGTTTCCATGGTAACGGGTATTGTCCAAGCATTTTTTCTAAATATTTTTGAACGAATTTCAACTCTCTGCCGCTAAATATTAAGTTGTATGTGCTTTGTATTGGTTCGCAATAGATATTTTTATTATGAGTAAGAATATTTTTCTGCAATTGAATTTTTATTTAGTTGGAATCGATGACGCATTTACTGTTAGATATCTCTTGTTTCTGCGAAATGTTCGATATAGAATCCTTAGTTATTTGTCTTTTAGTGCCTTGTCTAACATAAATAAAAAGCAAAAACAGCTTTCTCTTTCATCAGAGAATTTTCCAGCTCATGTATGCAAACCGTAAAAATGACGTACAACTATTGACAAAGTGGCCTGACTCTTAGCCAAATTAGATAAAAACCGAAATAAACTGAACCGCACAACACAATACCCAACAAACTACTGCAGTATATATCAGAACTGTGGTGTTAAAGTTGACTATTTTTGTACAAAAGCGCCATGTTATGAGAATAAATCGCGCGTCGAGACAACACATTGAATTGTGCTCGTCTTTTAAACATTGTTAAAGATCCTACACATTCGGAGTCTAGTTTATCCGATGATCCAGTTTTTAAATCTGATATTTAAAAATAACAATATTAATTCTATGTAAATACCAAGTTTATATCACAGCTGGAAAAGGATTTCAATGATGCAGCAAATTATCGTGTAGCGAGCGACATTTCTAAAAATAGCGCAGGAACGAGGTAAATAAAAAAAAACTACGATTTTTATTAAAAAAATATTCTAATATTGTTATTTAGGTGCATAGGTTTTCACCTATTAAACCTTTTATTGAGATTTACCTATTTATTCACGTTAGAATAATAGGTATAATATCCTCTGTATTTAATTGGCTTAAATATTAATTGACACTTTTATAT